TCGTGTAAACGCGTGCTCAAAAAATCAACGTACTTTGTGCCTGTTGGTTTCCCATCAAGAGAAAAAAGTCCAATTAAAAAAAATTTATCAATTATTCCTGCCCATACGTTTAAATTAAACTGGTGTTGATGTCTTGAATGCACAATAACCTGTGGGTTTTCTTCATCGCAATTATGATCATTATGAAAATTGAATATACCATCCCTGGTAAAACTAGCTTACTAGAGTTTACTCTGTTTATAAAATTCATTATATCTAATAAACGAAGACGGATAGGACATATATTTATATGACTTTCTTTCATTATTTTATAGGCGTGGACAATCGAAGTGGATCCCACAAGTTACGAAACACGCTGTATATATATTTCGCTTTTCGAATACTTTAGCTTTCACGTTTTATGTTTCTTTTGCAAGTGTTGCTGGCAAAAGTAGATTTCTCTATTCGGAAATAGATTTCTGTAGAAGTCTATTTCTGGGAAGCAATTAACGAGGAGGCAGATCCTAAAGTTTTAGGGATTCGAATAGAAAGTCGAACGACTGATAAGATTGGGTGAAGTTATCGGATGAACGACGAGCTATTATCCGTGACTAAGGGTGAATAAATGTTTGGAATGCAATTAGCAGTGGGGACCTCGAAGGGAAACGTTTCCAGGATTTGGAAAATTTGGTAAATGGGAGTTAAAGCTGATAAGACACGGGTTAAGTTTCAGTGAAGTTTAATGATTTTGTAGCTGAAGATAACGATCAATTCTTGTAATTGATAAAACCGATTGATGTGTCAATTTTTATCAATTAATATATGTATATGAAGTTAGAATTTTTTACATTTATAGACACTGAAAATCGAGACTCGAACGAAATACAATCACGTAATTCTTCTTCAGTTCGGTCACTCGTTATGGTCCGCAATCAGTTGCCAGCGCAAGCGGTTAAAATTGAGACGTTCCGTCATTTTCTAATGATTTTCTAATGTACCAATTGGACGTGAACAATTTACGTGAAATACGAAATTGATAATTTTAGGTTTGTCTATAACCCCTTATGCAGAAATAAAATATAACAGCTGACACGTGACCGCCATTAAATTGCGGACAGAAACGCCATCTTGTGCAAAGACGTTGACACTTTACTAAATCAAGAAAATTACATACTGATATATCCCAGTTGGATGTGACAATTTACACGAAACACGAAATTAATAATTTGAAATTTATTAGCAATCTCTGTATAATATCTTTTACGAAGAGATAAAATATAAACGATCGATTAAAAGACTTTACTAAATAACTTCGTCTTCTGTTGTGAATTCATCGGTATATCATGGATAGAAATTACTAAGGAGTAATAAATTTATTATTCGTTTCGCACTTCGGGTTACACTTAAATGTAACACTTGAAACTGAGGAAATGTTGCAGTTTTGCAAAAGAAATTATGCAAGAGGTTAAAATGCGACCTTAAAAATAAAAAGTTCTTCTCTCTCTCACATTTCTGAATTTTGACGAATTTGGTGGCCGCATGCACGTGAGAAAACGAGCGATTCCGTACAGCTTGACTGACGACTCCGCGTTTTACAGACGGCGCTCAGCAATTTGGAGGAGATGCAGCACAACTCCATGGTGTACCGCAACAACGAGAGAGGCAGGAGCATGGGCGTCGGGCCGATGCGATCCCGTCCGATGGAGAAGAGGCACGACACGTCGCCGTACAGCGGCGTCCCGTATCTCTCGCCACCGCCACCGGACACGTGGAGAAGAACGAATTCAGATTCGGCTCTCCATCAAAGCGCCAACGAAGCCTGCCAGTCGGCCACCACCATCCCCCATCGACGAGGTAGGTATACTTACGCGCTCGAACCTTCCTCTTTTTCTCTTTCATTTTTCGCGTTGCATATAATACATAAAATATATATATTATAAATATTTATAATTATGTTATTAATAAATATATATAATATATATATATATTACAAATATAAATATTTCACTATAATTATAATTATAAATATTTACTATTATTTAAAAAATATATATTACATATATAATATATATTATAAATATTGTATTATAATTCTAGTTATAAATATTTATTATTATATTAGTAATAAATATATCATACTGTAAATATATATAATGTATATATTACAAATCTAAATATTTTACTATAATTATAATTATAGATTTATTATTATGTTATTGAAAAATATATATTATATATAATATATAATATATATATTATAAATATTGTATTATAATTATATTTATAAATACTTACTATTATGTTATTAATAAATATATTATATATAAATATAATAACATATATAAATATAGACTTTTGCAATTTACGAGGATAAGAGTTTCCACTTGTTACACGATGTAATGGATATCTTTGAAAGGAACGAACTCTCAGGACGGTAGAAGTGGAAGCTTTGCGCATTAAAACGAGAGAGCAAGTAGATTTGACGAAGTTTAAAGGTTTAAAGGTATCGACAATTTTCTATGCTCTTCGCTGGTAGGATATCTCTAGAAATGATAGAAAACTTCAGAGAACCGACAGACTGAGAAGCAAATTTCTTTTGGAGATTTGTACATTCTTTTCAATAGAAGCAGAGAAGAGAGGCTTTCGTTCTTCCACTTGTCGTTGTTATTATCCACTTTATCGTTCTTTCGCATGCTAGCGTTTGATTGAACTCTGATTGTAGCCAGACGTTGTTCGACACACCGAAACTACTGGTTTGGTCACTCGAGTTGATTGGCTGGCATCGGGAGTAAACTTGCCGAAAATCAAGCGAGAAAATCGAAAACATTTCCCTCTCATTTTGCTCGCGATTCTTCTCGAAAATGGAGCAGAGAATGAGCTCGAGTCTCCGAAGGACTTTCCCTCCCCACAGTTTATCGATCCCTCGCGCACTCTGTGTACGCGAGAAGTTTCGACATTTAAATTCGGGACGGCCCGTGTGTTTCATCGTGGGAAACGCCAACACGGAGCATTCGGTCTGCTAACAAATTTCCCTTTATAAAGTTTACCTGTAGTAATTCAAATTTCTCTCTCTCTCTCTCTCTCTCTCTCGTATTTACCCTGAATATTTACCGCGAACGTTCGCAAGCGTCTCTGCTCGGCAAAACGGAATATTCCGTTGCATTGACCTGTCGCGAACCGTGCGTGCCGCAAACGGTGGAAATCGTCAAGGAAATCCATCGATCCGGCCGATTGTTTTGAATATTTTCACAAGCGAGTCGCGACGCAACCGGCCTCTGATTGCGCAACCGTCTCGCGTATTCTCCGGTGGCGCGTAAAAATAGCGAATACAACACAAGCCGATACACACCGACTTTGTTCTGACTCATTGAGAGATCCAGAGATCGGGATCGTGTCGCACATCGTGATACACACTGCGTATGTAACTGTGAGCAGCGGAGATCCGAAGACACACGATCCATGAAAATAAGGACGTGTTTAAGCAATCGTCGCTAATTAGGGCTAAGTGGTATACTTCGCGTCGCCTTCTGTCTCTTTTTCTTTTCTTCTTCTTCTTCTTCTCTTCACGATTTTCTCGTCTCGATCCACGCCAATTCGTGGTTTCGAACCACGCTGCATGCAAAGTATGTGCGTATACGTGCATAGGCGCGACTGGCGGGAAAAGACGCGCGCCAATCAGACGTTGGCTCGTTAACCGGCCGCGGAATTGTGTCGCAAAATGTGCCGCGTCGTGGGGGGAAATGCGCATCATGCTGGACAAACAGCGACAAACGGTCAATTCGTCGGATATTCGATCCGACATCTGCCGCGGTTCCCTCCACGGTGACTTTTGACGAATCTGCTCCTTGTTTTCCCTTTTTTTTTTTTTTTTTTTTTTTTTTTTTTTTTTTTTT